TTATCATATAAATTGGAAAAGGCTCACAAGACATTATGTTTTTGTGCAATAGATACGAAACTAAAGTAACAATTGTAAATAAAATAAAACAACTAGATATACATATCCTTTTAGTGTCTTCACCTTCATAATTAAAAATATTAGAAAATCATTAGGTATCTATATTTACGTAATATATTGGATAAATATACCCCTATGAGGCAATCTACTGGAGAGGCATGTTCTCAGCAGTGGACTTTGATAGGCTGTAATTATTATGATAAAATGACGAGGTAATTATTTGAACAGCACTTCAAAAACTAATTGATAGGCTTAGAGGACGAACTGAAAACTTATGCCATGTTGCATAAATAAGGAAGTGTCCGAGAGACGATTAATTTTCTCTAGAAATATTGTTACTATAATAGGCACATCATGGACTTGCCTAGCTCCAATATTAAGAAACAAATATTATTAGTCACATAGTCGCTTTGTTTCTTTTAAGAGAGTGCTCTCTAAACAGTTTGACAAATGTTCAGTCCATTTCTTCATGCTTAGGTATCTATAAATAAGAATAATAAAAACCTAAAAACGCTTATTTAAATAATAAAATTAAAAAATGTGTTTTTCCAATTTAGTACTACAATAACAATAAAAAAGTCATAAAAGTATACCTAAGTATTCTGTACATACCAAAACATACTTATTTACAATTCCATAATATTTAGCAGTAAAAAAACGTACGCGTGTGTGATTAATTTTACTGTTTTCACAGTATTTTGTGCTTGTGTGTATATTATTACATAGGACAATAAAACAGGAATAATTTTAAAATTATTTATATATCTAAACAAAATAACTAACTTATTTAGTTTAAACGCTTATGATAAGTGTTGTGTATTGATGTAGGTATATTTAAAGTAAACTCGAACAAGATTACAAAAAAGAATATTTGTTTAAAATTATGTAGAAAGGTTATAATGATTAGTGGTCAGTAAAAAATATTTCAGTTGTTAAGTCTATTACAATTTATGTGATGGATAATAGTACTTAAAAGATATTAAGTTTTTTGTGCTCACGTATTAAAGCCATGACTAGACATTTTTGAGCTACACATCAGATAGTAAAATTACTATTTTATCAACTATTAACGTAGAAATAATAATGTAAATTAAATATAATTACTATATTTTATCAAATAAGATAACAATAAAAATATACTTCATCGAAAATACATAAACTAATACCATTTGAAAAAGGTCAAAACACACGGTTGCATTATGTGCTTTCTGTGTGAATTATTGATAGTTTTTAATAGATGTATGTACCCAAGTATTTCATTAATCATTCCTAGCTTTTAAGTGGATACGATCTTTCATTACGGATGCATACATGCGTAACATCTGCGTACGTTACCAGGTCATCTCAGGTTAAGTAAAAAGTACCTAGCTACATTTTAATCAGCTCATATTTCTGAGAAATGATGTAGAATATAACCAGATCTGCTATAACTTTAATAACAAACCGTCAGCCAACAATAATGTATGAAAACTTATTTAAAGGAAAAATCTTCAAAAAAAAAAAAACTATAAAAATTGCATACTAAAAGTAAACATCTAACAGATAATAAGAAACGTAGAAATAATAGATAACACGAAATTTTCTATATAGTGAAATATATAATATTATTTTCATTGTCCCTTTATTTGGACAACGTTCAGGCAGTTCACCTGATTCTCAGCTTACTAAAGTCAATCACAGACTACGCACTACGCAGATACGATAATAGTTTATCTGCGTGTAAAACTTAACTATCTGAAAGTATCACACACTACGCAGATATGATAATATTCAAAATTATACTTGAAATCCTTCAAACTTACCAGACGTTTTTTTTGGAGGGGATTATTTATACAGAGTGTTATCTACTATGAGTTGGCGTATATTGGGTGCGTTTGGCAGAAAAAAGCGCTAGCAAGCGCTTACAAGCGCTGAAATAGTTTTCGGCCAGGACAAGATTGCTACTTCAGTAGCGCTGACACAATCCGCCATTTTGCTTATTTCATTTGTTTGTTTTGAAGTAAAGTTTATAAGTTTTTTTTTGTGCAATATTAGTTTTAAGTAATATAATGACATGAATAGACATATAGATGTTATTAAAAATTCATGATTGGTAAGTTTTTAATATGAATACTTTACAAATATATATTCAAATTAGGTTAAGTTCCCCGGTTAAAACTGACTTCGTGTCCTAGAGGAAAATAGCTACTTACGATTTGACAGCGGTTACCGCTTACGATCGCCATTTTGCTTACAAGCGATTGCTAGCGCTTTTTTCTGCCAAACGCACCCATTGCTTCTAAATTTGCTGGACAGCTCGTCAGAATATGATTCAGATTTTGATTTTAATGCACGTGTTGCATTAGCATTTACTAAAAGGCGAAGGATTAGGTAGAATATCATATAAAGCTTAAAAAGGATCGAGGCGAATTTAATCACATTCTTCCAGTGACCATTCTGTATTTATCTGCAGGTAAAGCTATATTTGTATCTGTAGATATATTTGTATAAGATAATATTGACAACATCTTTTGATACAGGTCGGTGCTTGAAAATACTTAACGATAACATGTAAATTATCCGCGCTGTGTGTTAGTTCATTGAATTTCATAGAGAATTACATTGAAAGGTATGCGCTCAGATCCAGATATCTTATCGTATCTGCATAGTATGTGACTCAATTAAGATGTTCACTGATGACGTTCTATATGCTCATAGTCCAACACACATCAAAATATATTATAACAATGATGAAAATAGCTAATCTAAATAAATTAACTACTTTTATTCACTTAACTTTTCATGAACATTCAATAATTCAATGGACGTGAATAACAAATATTCATTAAGTCCTGCGCTCACAGACGGCACGGCGTGGCAAAGCACACATTTCGGTATGCCGAAGGATCCCGTGGCATCTCGCGGCATGCCAAAGTATTCTGTGGCAATCCGCGTCGTGACAAAAGCAGTCGCGTCCGGGCGCTAACTCAATTTAGCACTGTGCTGTTTTAAAGTACAACCTTGTTTTTATTACTCAGAACTCATATTCCTTTAACAACATCAAGTAGCCTATGAGTTTTACGTGATTCAGCGCCGTGCCGCGGCATCCCATGGAATGCCGTGACGTTCAGCAGCATGCCGCGGTGTCACGCGAGATATTTCGGATTATTCGTGTTGAAATAAAGGAATATCAGCGCTAAGATTAATGATCTTGGTATGAATTGATATGAATATGAAAAAGGTCACGTTGTGCCGTGCCGCGCCGTCTATGAGCGCAGGCCCTTTAGACATAATCATAGTAATTAATACCTACGTTAATTGAGGAATGTTATCGTGGAAGTATTCCTTAATTCACAAAGTCGTCACAGATTGCAAAAATTTACGGAGAGATCATGATAAGATTCAAATTGGCCATTATATTCCAAAATAAACTCTATGCTTATCAATTATTATTTTAATATCTTATCTAATTTTATTAAAATTTCTGGGAGATATCAACATGCTCTGTATTCTATACATTTACAACGGATTTTGCCTTTATTTATTTGTTTTTAAATTTTTGTTTCTTTTTGACTAGGGTAAAGTGTATTCTTACTGCACTGTAGCACATAACTCGTACATTATATTCGACATTTATAACGTTTGGAGTTATGCTCTTATAGGCAACATCAAGCATTTAAATTACAACAATACCATTTAATTTATAAATAAACATTAACACCATGGTTAGATAGTTATCCGTAAATATGATTGAAAACAAATTTCTTGATTTAGCTAGTGGTGTTCATGGTATTTTTAAAAATATTTCACTTCCACTCACCGACTGATTCCATTATAAGGCGGGCGACTTGGGAGACTAGGGCTTGGGGAGTAAGTTTAAATAAATTGCGTATTTTTAAAAAAAATAATAAATTACGCGTGCTCAGCGGAGCCAATAAGATGATATAGAATAAGAGTTTGTTGACATCTATACTTCCTGTTGTTTTTTGGCAGTCAGGCAAAATGCAATACAAAATTTATAACTTTGTTATTAGGTATGAGGTTGTTAGTATTATATATATATATATATATATATATATATATATATATATATATATATATAATACACATTTTTAGTCGTCGAGAAACTATAACTCGTAATGAACTCAACCATACTTTCTACGCACGTTGACTGCGTGGTGGATTGGTTTAATTTTTTAATGAAGTAATATGTACGAAAAGAATTATTCATTAATAATTTAAATTAAAATAAAGATTCTTAAATAACATCAAAAAATATTTTTAATAAATTTTTTTGATAAATTATTCACATATTTGTTATTTTAATCAATGTTAGATAAGGCGGTGGCATGAAAGTCCTATTTAAAGTTAACCCGCATGGCAAATTTTATTTAAAACAAAATATGAAATGAACTACTTTGACGGTTTATCGCGTTTATTTCTGGCGCTCTATGGCGGTTGCAAAGCACTCGGGAGTTAAAAAAAGAAGTCAAATTAAACGCGATGCAACCCGTAAAACTAGTTTTACACAGTGTCTAGTGTTAGCATAATCGTAAACATAAACGTAAACGTCATTATTTAAAGAAAATATTCAGCGAGTTGAGAATATAATTTCTCAGTTCATGATCAAATCAAGGGAATATAGAGAGGCCGCGTGGGGTCATTAGGCGTCAGCATACAGACTACACGTGCGCTTAAAAAGAGCGTAAAGCGGTGACTTTGTGCTGCTTTGTGCGATTAGTCGAGTTCGGTAGCGCGACAGTTGGTTAGTGTGCGGGCCGCTTTACGCCAGTAGGCAGGCCTACACGTGTTCTTAGTAAGGAGAGCGTGGAGTGGTGACTTTGAGCGATTAGTCGCGTTCAGCGACGCGCCATTCGGTTCGTGTGCACGCCGATTCACGCCAGTAGACAGCCCTACACGTGTGCTTATTGAGGAGAGCGTGGAGTGGTGACTTTGTGTTATTAGTCGCGTCCAGCGGCGCGCCATTCGTTTCGCGTGCAGGCTGCCTCGCGCCACCAGGCTTGCACGTCCGCGTAGTGCGCGCTGCGCTGCCGCCTTGCGTTTGCGTGCACCATCGCGCACACGCGACAGAAGAAGTACGTGTTTATAAACTCGCCGGTGCCCTGTCACAGACAGATGTTCCCGTGTCAATTATTGATATATCTGATAAAAGATATCATAAAAGATTATCATAATCTGATAAAAGAATATAGAATATCAAGATGGGTCGACAAACTAGATGGGAAGTCTGGATCATTACTTGTTTGAAATTTAAATCAAATCAAATCATTTATTTCGCTAAAACATGGGTACAGACGGATGGAGACAATATTTGTTTTGCCTTTTGTGGCATGCGTAAAAAATGTTTAAAATAAATATGTTAAAAAAATTATTTCATATTTTTTTTCGATATAAAATATCTATTTTTTTTTAAATAGAAGTGCCTTATACCAGACTAAAAGATGCACTGTAACCTCTGAACACAAAAATGGAATATCTTAGTGCTCGTAATTAGTAACAAAACTCTGTAATTTTGCAGCAGAAATAAGTAAGAGAGTGTTACCTACCCAAGCCTAGACAGACAAAGGAATCCTATCACTTTGATCTATCTATCTATATATTAGTGGTATAGTTGTAACACGAATGGGTCGGCACGACCGGGGAGGATCACGCTCTCACAGAATACCAGCGTAAAATAGCAGCTTAATGCTACTGTGTTTCGTTTGGTGAGTGTGGAGAACCGGAGACCCTTTTTACTGGAAAGGAGGCATTTTATCTTAGTCGTCACGGGTGACAACGCATTTGCATCTTGATTCATAATCGAGGATAGATGTAGATGTCTATGGGCCACAGCAACCACTTACCATCAGGTGGACTGTGTGCTCGTTTGTCACCCTTCCTATATAAAAAACATGCCAGAAATACCTGGTAATCAATGTTTGTAAGCTAACGAAGAAGTAGGAATTTGTCTGTGTAGCTAGTAGCTACCGCATTCTTTCCTGTAATTGCTGATATAAAGCATTCACTTTTGTCTGCCCAGTTAGATGAGAATCTCAACGAAAGGCAAATAGAATAGATTAATTTTTATTCAATATAGATAACACGTAATTCTTATTGAAAGTCATTTTTTATTTTACCACTAATTTGGAAAAAAGAGAAGTGAGTGGTAGTGTCGGCACGAGACAGCCTGGATGGAAGTTTATCTATCAAATTGATGATCTGAAGATGGACACAACTAAGAATATCCTTTACTGAATAACATGTATGTGAAAGAAGCGAGAGAGTTGTGCCAGAACCGTGCCCAAATGGAAGTTTATAGTTTCTGTCTACACATCCGCGTGAAAGACGTGACATCATTATTTATGAATTAAATTAATGTATAAATGAATAATTTTAAGAGACAGCTTCAGCCTGCGGATCCACCCGCTTAGAAAGAGAAACGTTGTTGTGTTCATTTTCCCGCGAAAACGTTGTTGTGTTCCTTTTACCTTCCATTTAAAATATGAGTTATATAGGTTGTCATCTTCGTCCAGGCGGTGTAGATAAGCCGCTAATTCCTCGGCACCAGCAAACTCCTCTACGTGCACGTAAGAGTTGTGAGGGGCCACCGCTGCATACTCCGATGGACGGGCGCCCATTACTATCGGTAGTACGTTGTGTCTGTAATTAAAAAACAATAGTATAAATAAAATGTCGGAGAAAAAGTTTCTTCGTATTTTATATTCAAACTCAAGACATTTTTCAAGTTTAATTATTTATCCGATAACTCTCTAGTATATACACGGTAATCTATGCCGATAACTTGTTGCCATCTTGTAGGTAGTGACAATCCCGTTACTGTAGAAATATTGGCAATTTTTGATATAAAAATGCAACAAGTAGTTTTGACAGTCCTCTCTTGATGTAAAATTACTGTGACCTAACACTGCTCAAAGAATTCTGAAGAGACTGAAACCGGTGAAAATCTGAGGGTGCGGACTATATTATGGTGGATGCATTAATACTTCCCGACCTAGCTTTCGCAGGTTCTTGTCATAGGTGATCCACTTTTCATCACCAGTGATCTATCTTTTCAAAAATGGTTCGGTTTCATTACGTTTTAATAGAGAATCCCAAATGAGTACACGATTCATTAGGTTTCTTTCAGTGAGCTCGTGTGGTACCCAAATATCGAGCTTTTTTTGTATAGCCAGACTTTTCCAAATGGATCAAAACTGTTTTGTGGTTAATCTTCAATTCCTCGGCTATGTCGTAAATACTAATGTGCCGATCTTGTTATAATTTGAAAAAAAATGGCATTGATTTTATACGTATGAGGGCGACCAGAGCAAGCTGCATCTTTGATATAATCCCTGGACTGAATACGCTCTAACCAAGTTTGTGCTACTCTTACTGACACTGCATTAGGTCCATTTTCGCGGCTTGGGTCCCATTTTACCCTTTTTTGTAATAAAACTTCAGAATGTATAAAATTTCTTTGTTAGATTTACTCATTATGGTGGACAGAAAAACAATTGAAAAATCTTTTTCTTGTATTTAATGTCCTATATGTACAGATATTAAAACCAGAAATCCCCATCCCCATTCTCGGCAGACAGGGAGGGCGTTCAGCCGATAAATGCAAAAATTATGACGTCATTCTTTTCGAATTCGAAAATAGATTGGTGTGACAAGTGATTTACATAACGTCAAATATTATATTATTTAGTAATTTAACGGTGTGCATGTAAGTAAATGCATTATAAGTACTATTATTCGTAGTATCCGTGAACATGGAATATCAAATTTGCAAACTTGCATTCGTTCATACACACAGTATAAGTAAATGACCATATTTACACATTTTATATTAAAAACTTTCTAAATTAATAAACGAGGAGCGAAAAGAAATAAGTCGTCCGTCGTACCGATCCTGCGTTTGACCACTGTCGGAGCCTGTGTCAGTGATAAGTGTGACATATACACGAAATTCCATTTCGAGATATCGTTTCGGAATTCTGAAACGGAACGAACGGTTCGGCCACACTCATACATACAGAATCCCGTTTTGACCGCAAAATTTCGAACCGAAATCTACCGTAGGTGTGTGACGGGTCATTGCTTTTATATGGACTTACTGAGTTCGGAATTCCGAATCGGAATTCCGAAACGAAATTCTGCATGTATGTGGCGGGCCTAAAGTGAATTTTTCCAATCACGGTACGTACGCGATGAGCGGCTAGAGGTCATGCTACCAGACTCCGGATGTTTGTACTCGTAGCAGTGTAAATATTCAGCACGGTTGTACGAAGCTTAGTTTCTGCTCTGTTTACGTTGTATGTGTTGTCATGTAAATTTTGACGTTTAATTTTATTTTGTGTGGAGTAATTTTTGTTCATTCTTTGAAAAGAATGTATAATCATAATTACGATATCTAAAAGCACGGTTCGGATAGGTTTTTCCCGTGTTTCATTCACTCGGTTTCGCAGTCTTGCTATCGGTTTGCACACTTAATTAATATTCATGTTACCATGTTGTTATTACGTATGTTTTTACGACCGGCATGTAATACGGTATGGTCGAATTATAATCGGTTTACGTTGAATATGTGATGCGTTATGCCCCATTTACATTCAGCCCGTTTGGGCAGGGAAGTGAGCAGGGCAGTGAGCAGGGCAGTATGTAAACAGGCTACTCGCGCTGACACTGCCGCTGCCGCTGACACTGCCCGAAATGTCGGTTTTTCGTGCGGAAGTCAAAGGACGGGCAGCGCGAGCGGCAGTGTGTGTTCACATTCAGCTCCATCGCTCACTTCGCGACAAGCGCCTGGATGAACGGACGTGCGTGCCGTCCTGTTATTAAATAAATACGATCTACCAAAATGCCTTTCGAGTGGATTAATGAAAATACAATAAAGTTTTTAGAACTGCTGGAATCAGAAAAAACTATATGGGATTTCAACGATAAAAACCACAATTCATCATCTTCTACGAATACGAATTTTCTTTTTTGAGTTAACATAGTACCTATGTACATAATTAATTATAAATTCGTCAAATTTATTATATTAATATAAAATTTAGTTTAAGGAATTAATGAACATTGACATTTTATTTCTAAAAACGATTAGTAACTCATATTGATTATTTATTAATTAAAATGTAAAATAAGTTAAAAAGGTAATATTTGCATAATAGCCTGAGATTTTTAAATTATAATTTTATTGTAATTAAAATTACGAATTAGTTTATACTGAAGTGTAATTAATAAAATAATAATAGCTTAACTAATCTCATATAATATTTAATATTATTTATGTAACAATAATATAATAATTCAATTAATAATTTATGAACAATTTACTGTATAAGAATTCAAATAGAGTGGATCTGTATAAGTATTTAATTGTACATAATATTTGAATTCAAAAAGAATGTGTGTACCTAACTTTTAAGCAACATCGGGTTTGTGTAATTAGCTGTATTTCATATCATTTTTCCATGCCAATTATGGCAAAACATGTCAGTTCCACGTCATTGATCATCTTATGTACCATGTTTTTAAGCAAATAAATTTTCTATCTATCTATCTATCTTCTTTTGAACTTGATATCTTTTTAAATTATTAACATAATTTTGTATTGCAAGAAGACACAGCGCGGACGCTGTAATTATTTCGACGTCCGCCATAGTCGAAAGCCGAAAGCGATGTGAGTGGTAGGGCAGAGTGTGAATACACACTTCCCGCGATCCTGCTACGGCAGTATTTAGGGAAGTATTGCCGGCAGCGCGAGGAGCAGTGGCAGTGGCTGAATGTAAATGGGGCTTTACACTGTATATCTGATAAAGATTAATTGCGTAAACAAAAGAGCAAGTTGAATATTCGCTCTAATACTATTATTATCTTTAACAATAAACTCCTAATGCCATTCCAACATTAACAGACACATCAAATAAACTAATCGCTTTATCTATTACACTAAATTTATTATAAAATTTAATTTACTTTAAAATATAATACGATAGTGCAACTAAAACCAATGATCATTTGACCACAAATTAACATTTATAAAAGTGAGGAAGTAGCGTATAAAATGTTTTAACTAAAAAATATCAAGACAATGCAAGCAAAATTATTATACATACATTAATTTTTCTCGGATCACCTTATCGTACGTGTGAATATGTCAATATTTATCTTTATGAAATTACCTTTCTGCAGTACTGGCCATTTAAAATTAAAATAATCTTTGTTTGGCTAAGAATTCTCATTTCAAAATTTTAAAAACATGGAATTTCATTTTTCAAACTTAGTTATTTGTTTAATGATTAGCGTTATGTTTTCATCACATTTGAATGTTTTTCGTCATCATGGATACGGCAAAAATTCGATTAATCATGGAATATGGACATTACGGACAGGACATTACGGAGCGAATACTACAAACGAAAGCACCACCTGTTATTGGTTTGGCCGTTTCCTTTCTAGAAATTTCGACCTGAAAAATGAACCCCTGGTCGTCTGAAAACTTGCTCGACAATGACGAATCACCTTGTGATTGTGGAAGCTGATGATACTAAATCTATGGCAGAATTAGCAGAAGCTTCCGACGTTAGTATCAAAACAATATTGGTCAAAAATTTTGACAAATGGGTGCCCGACGAACTCAATGATCGCCAGCGCGAAGTGCGCGTCGAGACGTGCTTTGCACCTCTCAACAAACGTTGTGTGCCACAAACGAAGGAGTTTTGAACCGCATTTTTACCAACGTCAAGAAATGGGTTCCACTTGACAATCGTAAGCGATCAGCAAGTTGGTTGAATCCTGGTTCAGTACCTAAACAATACCTTAAACGAAAAATTACCCCTAGAAAAGTGATGGTCACTGTGTGGTGGTCTAACGCCGGTGTGATTCATCACAGTTTCTTACCAAACAGGATGAGCATTACTGCAAATGTGTACTGTAAAGAACTGAACATTATTATGGAGAAGCTCGCACGTCTCAAACCAGCTTGGTCAATCGCTCGTCGTCCCCGCTGCTTGCGCGACCTCGTACTGCACTACGGACGGTCTCCAAGTTCCAAGAGCTAGGATTGGAAGCTCTCCGTCACCCGCCGTGCTCACCAGACCTTGCGCTTACAGACTCTTACTTTTTCTAGAATTTCGATAATTTTTTAGCGGAAAGTAAATTCAATATTTGAGAGGCAGTATAAAATGTCTTAGAAAAATTTGTTGCGCCCCGTCCAGCTAATTTCTTTAAGAAGGTCATCAATTCTTATTTCAATTTCAAAATCAATATTCAATCAAGTGCCACTGCTTTGGCAAAGATGCATCGATTGCATGGGTTAATTTATTTCATAAGAAACGATGATTTCATAGTCACAGTTATCTTATAACCACTAAACAACTTTACCGATTGAGCCCATATTATAGTTTTGACAAAACTTGTCTAAAGGTCTCTTTCACTTAACCACAGTATTGCGTGAATATGAGTTTAAGTACTCATTTCTTTCATGAGAAAAAAAATTAATTTGTAATTTTATAACGGAAAATAAGAAAAGCCTAATTGAGGCATCAGCCATCAACAGCCATTTTTGTTATTGATCCATAGTAGCAAGGTATTGTAGTTTTGTGTTGAGAAAACTTTATAATTGTTTTGGCTAGTGACAGACTGTTACTTGTAAGTGATTGAAACCATAAATCGTATTTAACGTTTGATTTAAACATCATATTTATAACTGAAAAAACATGCTTTAATAAATCTTGCATGGCACCTTATTTCGTGCAATACCTGCTGTTTCAGCGTTATTGATTATTGTCATGCCGTGATATCGTGCGTCAACGATGTTTTTGTTACATTCCTGCAAATTTGTGTTCGAACTTGGCACACGCACCAATGCTCGCGCCAAACTTTTCAGTCTGAAGCCGGTTAAGAGTAGTAGATTTTATATTCCGGCCGTGTTTTGATTCATAGATAAGTACTAATAGAAAGTTTGATCATTATGATTAGGAAATAGATCACAGAGATACATAATATAAATTTGAATCAATAAAAAATTACAGTATTTTAGTTTTTATTTTGGATACTCTAATATCATTACCAAAAAGCACACAGTACCTATGTAGCGGCGCTGTCGTCGCGCCACCACTAGCACACCGAAACACACCGAAACCTAAATCGCGCTATTAACATTCCGAATCATAGACAATATATATAGAACTTCTCCGAACTATCACTCGGAGTGTGAGCCGCTCCCCGGGCAGAACACCTTGCCCGGCGGGAGATCTCCCCTTTTCCTTCATCGGCCACAGTAGTGACCATCCAACGTGATCTGAACACGCAACCAAACAACCTTCGGAAACTTCAAACTTCAGCATCGTCATAGAATACCCCACCCATTCGCTCCCGAGCAGATATCGTCTGTAGTCTTCTTATCCTGCAAGCCATCTAGCTTCACAAGGTTCATCGCAGCACTGGAATAATAATGCTTCCTGTTCCTTCAAGCTACTCTCTGCGCTATACAGTGTTCGGCACGGCTCTGAGCCTTATTGCTCGCCTCTGCCTCACGGCACTCTCGCAGATTACTTGCCTTCTTCTCGACTCACCGCAGACTACAAGGCAATCTCCTGGCACTTGCACATTCGTCAGCAACGAGGCTGCACTATCGACCTCCGGTCTGAGCAGGGGGGTGATGTAGCGGCGCTGTCGTCGCGCCACCACTAGCACACCGAAACACACCGAAACCTAAATCGTGCTATTAACATTCCGAATCATAGACAGTATATATAGAACTTCTCCGAACTATCACTCGGAGTGTGAGCCGCTCCCCGGCCAGAAAACCTTGCCCGGCGGGAGATCTCCCCTTTTCCTTCATCGGCCACACCTATATATACAAAGCGTAGTGATTATATATACTCTTTGTTGGTTATTAAAACAAATGTAAATACGTAAAAGTAAGGCAGTAAACATTGCGGTAAATACCCACAGAAATAAAAGAATAACATAAAAAGTTTACATAATTGGCTGAATTATAAAAAAAATGTAAGTTTAACTCACTGTAATCCGTTGACGAAGAATTTCTCAGTGATGTAGTCTCGACAGTTGGAGTTTTCGAAGGCAAGGTAGAACTTGTAGTTATTCAGCATTTCGAGGCAGTTGGGATCAGCGCGCGGACAATGCCGCGAGCCGCACGCACCGTAGATATCCACGGATATGTATTTGGCGAGCTGGCGCGCGTATTGCAGTCGCCGATTCCGTGCGTGGCAGTTGGATACAAACCATGCGACCTGCAAAAAATTGAGTAATTAGTGGGTGCGATTGGCAGAAAAAAGCGCTAGCAAGCGCTTGTAAAAAAGCGAAAAACAGTTTTCGGCCAGGACACGTTCGCTAATTTCAGTAGCGCTGACACTTAATTTGTTTGTTTTGAAGTAGAGTTTATAAGTTGTTTTGTGCAATATTAGTTTTAAGTAATATAATGACATGAATAAACATACATGTTATTAAAAGTTCATGATTGGTAAGTTTTTAATCTGAATACTTTACAAACATATATTTAAATTAGGTTAGGTTCCCCGGTTAAAACTAACTTCGCCTCCTAGAGGAAAATAGCTACTTACGATTTGAAAGCGCTTACCGCTTACGATCGCTATTTTGCTTACAAGCGCTTGCTAGCGCTTTTTTCTGCCAAACGCACCCAGGTGCATAGAACAATACGGTCCACCGGTGGGTCGAAGGGGAGTAGCCATACGAAGGCGTTCCCCTCTGTCAAATTCTACGCGATCCTATGCGTACAATAAAACTTGTTGCAGCCGCACTGCTCACTAGACTTAATTTAGTTACACGGCTGAATCGACACCCTCCAAAAATGCCGATTTGATCAGTTATTTGCTGCGAAAAGAGATCTGTTACGTCAAATTCACAAAAAGATAGCGTTACCGTTTAATATATGAGTAACTTTTAATGTAAAGACTGCCTCGTTGGTCTAGCGGTTGTAGTAGTGCGACTGCTGATCATGAGATCCTGGGTTCAAATCCCGGGTCGGGCCAAAAAAATCAATTATTGACTTTTCTGTCAAGAAATTGTCAATAGCTGCCCGGAGTCAGGAAGTTGGCGGTGTCTCACCCCCGTGCCTCGGAAAGCACGTAAAGCCGTTGGTCCTGCGCCTCATCTCTCTCCGGTCGTGTCGGTTTACCGTCCCATCGGATTATTAGAGAGAGGGAATAGAGAGTGCACCTGTGCTTGCGCATACCCTTGGGCACTATAGTCCTGTCCTGCGCCGTTGGCTAACCTCCGTTGAGGCAAGCCGCCGTTGCCGAAATTCGGTTTGAAGGACATTATTATAATTTTTAATCGCTTTATTGCTATTTACTTCCGTCTTGCTATCTATGTGTGTGTTAAAAGGTTAGTATATTTTTGAATTGTTATGTGTGAACGATTGTTTTTGTGCGCGATTCCCCCTCCTTTCCCCGAAATAAAAGGCCAACTGTTCTGTATCGGGGAAAAACGCTATGACTACTCCCCTCCGGTCTACCAGTGGCCCGTGATTTATAATTTCTAGAATACATTTTGGTTCTAAAAGGTACAGTTGCGGTCGAGTTGCTAATAATTTTTTTATTTAAACTATAAAAAAAGTGCGGAGTGAATTTTGAGTCAGTGTTTTTCCACGATTTTACCCGTAAGCCACCTAACAGGAGGTAGCCCATCTTCCTTTACCAAACCTATTTGTCCTAATTTTGGTTCAGGAGTTATATGTGTCCATTTGTACTTATGCATCATGTGCATTAGATACTCTTATGACTATAGTTTCCAGAGGTATTGAAGCATGCGTTGACATAGTTGCCATCTCCTTAATGTACTGATCGTACTCGTATATTGCTCATATCTAAGATCAGGAGGCAAGAGAAGAGGCAATACAAGAGGCTCACCTACCCAGAAGTGTCCTGGTGTTAAGGGCATCTTTTCATTCATTTATCTTGGATATATTATATTTTAGTCTCGAATTTAGGCACGCTTCGATTTAAGACAGAAAAGTAGTTATTTCTTCGAAGGTCAAAGTGGAGTTGCCTATGATCATTATCAAGTCATCACTCCACCGCCACGAAAAAGTATGACGTAATTAATCATTACATTCATTATTTACATTACACATGTATATAATGAATGTAATGATACACATAACACATGGCGGTGTTTTCACCACCAAACCTCGGAAAGCACGTAAAACCATTGATCCTGCGCCTGATCTCTCTCCGGTCATGTCGGATTGCCGTCCCATCGGGTTATGCGAGGGACAGAATATAGTTAGAGTTTTAATATACAAGCACAGGTTCAGTACCTGTGCTTGTATATTAAAATGCAAGTGTAAAGATTCACCCTCAACACGCTAAGCTTTGCTACAATCGTCACGCCTGACAGGTAGAGTGACATATAAACTTACGGATTTGACTCTATTCCACGGTCCTCGGTCCCGGTTTGGCCATATCGAATAGAATATAATATTATAGAATCATTTTTATTCAATATAGACTATATATAATTCTTTTGAAAGTATATTTTTACTTTTTCCACTGGTTCGGGAAAACCTCAGTCCTGGGATGAACCAGCAAGAAACCCAGCAATTAATACAATTAGTATGGAGACATTACTATAAGCATAGTAGCAATCACCTTATTCTCAGGGGTTTATTGTCAATCATGTACTCGTCTTTAGTAACTCTTATTAAACAATTTTTGCTTCATAAATTTTTTAAACGTTTCGATAGCTAAGGCCCGCATATTTTCTTGGTTTTTGATGTAAAAGCGTTTTTACATCAAAGTCATCATCGTTTTTACATTGACCCATGAAGGAATTAATAACTCTTTGGAGTCGAATAACCGGTATAACTAGCTTGTGCTTGTTCCTAGTATTTACAAATCTCGTGTAGTGTCCTTGCAAAACAAAAGCTGCGAGACATACCTTTTTCGTCTTATTAGCTGCGTAGTTTCTGTCGAGATCTTTTTCCGTGACGTGAGGATCGTAATATAGCCAGCGTTCGTAAGGCGCTACGATGTCAGAGTCCCGGCGGTAGGTCGCCGTCCAGTTGAACACGTCTAAAGAAGATGGCCGCAAGGACGCCGTGTGGTACGGACACTCCAAGTAGTATAGAATCCAAATCTGTGACGAGGTGAGTTCCATTAGCTAATCATTATTACGATATATGCCTCTTACATAATCATTATGCCTAATTCTTTTATTGTATAAACTGTTATATACTACCTTCTGCCCGCGACTTCGTACGCGGATCCTGTTACTTATGCCAACGACAACGGGGTCGTCAAAATCGAATTCAAAGAGCCCGGGGACGGGAAAACAACGTGACGCGCGAGACGATTCGAGACGTTCCAGATCTTTCATTTTTGTAAGTCAACAGGAAATGCCCATCAGACTAAACAACTTTTGCTAAGACGTCATTCCTATATATGTTATAATGTCGCTGGGCTTTGGAGTTCCACAACAGGCGTTGAGATCTTTAAATTTATTCTCACAGCAGAAAATACTCTTCACGAGGAATATTTTTTGCTATGGCACCATTTTTATATCTCTTATACTTTAGCTGGTCTGTTGCGGTTCTGCATCAGGTGTTCCATTTTCCAAAATAAATTATAGCCTATATGTTGCCTAGACTTAACATAACAACTTTTCATCCCGTATATTTCACCGATCCGGTGCGGAATGCACTACAAAAAAATTTTTTTATAAACTAGCTGTACACGTGTACACTATTTTTATTTTAATAATATTTAGTGATAGTTTGTTGATTTACAGAAACACTCAAAAGACGCATCCCATATTTATACTAAAGCTTAGTCTAAACCTACCTCAAAAACTATTTAGCTTAGTAAACTCAAAATTTGAAAGTTAGGTATGTAGTTAATTTACTGGTAAAAGACGTCAGGTTAATAAGGAAATTTTGGTGACGTCGAATAACAGAAGTGTTATAATTTACTGTAACACTTCTGTGTAAACAACGTTCGTTGCTTTTCCCTCGGTCTCATTCAATATGTACAGCGAGTCAGGACTGGTGACGCGGGAGCAAGTGACGTACAGTTGTCCGTATGAGAAGCAGCTCGTCCTGAGTTGGACACCCGCAGCCTTCAGTCTGCCCCTGCGACTTATTTATTGTCATGGCAAAGCACACGCTCACAGGAAACAGCACGCGCTTGAATTGAAAGGGGTAATTGTGGGGAATCAGTGGTATACGTGGTATAAACACTGTTTCGCTGACACCACAACCCGTTAGAATTTCAGCCTCAATGATATTTCTCTGCAGCGAGATGACTTTGAGCCGGGTAAATTTGCACAGTTTTGGCGGAGTGAGATTCCGAAGAAGCATAATTGGGACACCGACCTTTAGCTTAATGGTGTGCGCTGGCAGTCCACTTGCACTGAGGGAATTGAGAAATTCTACGGGGTAATGTGTAGCGTCATCTTGGTCGACCACGTGTTTTTATTGAAGTGTAGATCACTTCATTTCCCTCAATTTTCACGAGAATGCATTCATTGATCGCGGAAGCGTGGTCGTTTTTGGGTATTAAAATGGCTCCTTCACACACCCAAGAATTATCTTGGTGCGGTATCCTATTGATGTCCCCGTACACTAGGCGAATCAAATCTTCTAAGGTGGACACCACTCTCCCAAGTATCTCAGGCAGAACCACCTGGCCACTGTCTACTGGTTGCGTTCCCTCACCCAATTTTAAGAGAACATCAGAAAATTCTTGGTTTGGCTTCATCGTTAAGCGCAACCTATGAATATGTGGCCATAAGAAAGAGCATTTCAACGAAGCATTCACCTCATCAGCCTTAGTTCCTCGCGTCACCACAGGCAGCGTTTGTCGGAAATCCGCTAAACAGAACTGTAACGCCATCATTTGCTGGTTCCTGCGGATGTCCTGCAAAGTCCTTTTTACCGCCTCTACTGCCTTTCTATTCGCCAAAGTGCATTTATCCGATTTAATATATATAGATACACGATTAAAGAGCAATCTTTAAGAACTTGCCCTTTGTCACTGTTGCGTTACACTCCACAAACAGGTGTTTCATTACTCTCTAAATCTATGGGAATCTTAAAAATTGCGTGCGCTGTTTTGCCACCAGGAAGCAGTGTTGCGGCGATTCCTGACGATGCTACTGCAATGGAAATCTTGTCTTGCCTCCTGACATCTGCGAGAATGCCAGCGGTGACAAATGTTTTCCCTGTTCCACCAGGAGCATCCAAGAAAAACATTTTACCTTGGCCGAACCCAACGCTTTCAAAGATGGTGTCGAAAATTTGCTTTAGCTCTGAGGTAAACTTACAGACATGGTCATTGACGACGGTACTCATAGCTCTTGGATCATAATTTATTTCAGAGTTGTACTCACTGTTTCCACGGTCTTGTACATCCAGATGTTGTGGCGTCAGTAGCCCATAATCCACCAGAGAACTGCCGCCGATCGAAATGACCATGTCTTGAAGTGAACTAAGGCAACTGTTTAGAACGCGCTCATCAGTTGCCTCAGTATTATCTCCAGTAGTGCATCTCAGAGCTCTTAGGAAGTCTTCGGACAGAAGATGCCGATATTTCTCCCGCAACAGAAGCGGATTTGCAATACCGCAGAACACCAACATGACGGCAAACAGATGTCGCAAACGACTGGGACTGTCACTAATGCTGGCCTCCTCAAGTGCGTTGTCCCAGTGCTGATCACCGTCGAGAAAAGGTGGCGTGCTACGCAAGCAGCGCGGTATGTGGGATACTGAATGTCATCGACTGTCCTTAGAAACGCAAATGATGTTGGGCCCCGCACTGTGTGCACAAAGCACTCGCACAAATAACATTCGCAAATAATAGCACTCGCCATTATTTGGGTGCACAGTGTAAACCCGTCCCAATGCGGTGTCCTTAAAAATTCGCGGAAACCCGTCCACGGCGTGTCCGCGTCGACGTCGATTAAATTCACCTCCTTGCTTGTCGTACGTGTAGTACGACAGCACCTCATCATAGGTGAATGATCTAGCAAAGTTGTCCCCTTCAAAGAGTCTGAAAAAGGCCAACAGAGTGGTATGGCGCGGATTTTCCAATCTCGCTGCAACGTTATCAGGATCAAAATAAATGCGCTGGCCATTTTCTAAATGGACATCTAAATTCATGACTGTTGGATGCCTTTCGTGTATGAAGAAGGCCAGTATTCGCCTGGTACTTGGTCACTTCATCCCTGTCAATACTTTGTATAGCGAACGTTGCCTGGTTGTCTGCCTGTCAACCTTTGTTGACGTATTTACAGATGTATTTAATCGACTGTACGCTTGTGCACGACTCGACGTTAATGTGGGGTACTGAACGTCCTGGAAAGTACAGGTGAGTATGGAATTATCCACCTGTTGTCGATCTCGACTGCCTGGCCACGCATAGTTAGCTCGGCACGACTGCCACCCTCAGCAGGAGATCGACGCCGGTATGAAGGGTATCCATCCTCACCTGTAAGAGTTTCGCTGCTAAATCGCTTCGGGAACCTTTTTGAGCACGGTCCGTCCCTCATGCAAGGAGAATTGCGATTTAGACTATGCACCATGTGAACCTTTACAATTTGGTACAGAACGGGGTCAACGTTGGGATCTGGCAGCTCAGCACTTATGACGTCATCGATCTCGTTGGGCCTGATTTTATCTTTCAACCACAAAAGCAATTGCGCATGGATCAAGCCGCGTTTTTGCCACTCTACCGAATACATGTGGCATCTGGTAGCAACAAATAGTTTTCTTTTGTGAGAAGATCCATCAGGCACTTTAATTTTAAATAAAACACCCGAGAAATCAAGTCGTGCCTGTCATGTGGCACCTGCCCTGCTAAGAGCTCGCTGGTTATTTTGGGCCACTTAGGGTTGGTAGTGATGGTGATGGAGAGGTCCGGTCGTCCGTACTTGCGCACGTAACAGAATGCGCCATGTGTCCGCTTGTGCATGTACCGCGGACCTCCCATAAAGGTGGAAGGGAGTATCACAATGGGTCCAACATTTTACGCGTTAGAGTCCTTTCGCATGGCGTCCCTTAGGTGCACGTAGTTTTCCGCCCTTAGTTTCCGTTGATTCGTTCTAATGAACACCAACCGCTCCGTTTTAATTTTGGCATACTCATCTACCAGAAATTGACTAAAGAGTGCACGGTAATAATGGAGATGAGAGTTGTCGTTGGAATGGAGCTGTATCATGTAACTGTAAAACTGGAGGGCGGAAGTCTTTTTGTTATGATTTGGGGCACCTGTCTGCGGGTATACATTGTATACGGCAAAGTGGTAGCCATCCTCTCCGCGACAAAACATTAGGGGATACTGTAGGGTATCATAAGCGCGATGTGTCTCGCTGATACGCTGTAGGCGATCATCACGTGTGCGTAAAACAATGTCTCTTTTGTCGCATTCCTGTTCAACCAAGAGAATGGCTACCTCGTTTAACGTTGCTGCGTTATATCGTCTTGGATGGCTGCGGTCGATCTTTTGTCTGCGCTAATAAAGAAGTTAAAATTATCGCGCTCGTGTTCAGGCACCGATTCCAGAGCGGTTTTGAAATCGGTAACGTATGGGTTGACACTATGCAGAGTGTTTTGTAATCCCCTTATAAGGCTCAAGTCTAAATTAGGAATGTGTCGGCATCGGACATTAGCCTGTTCAGCAAAATTTGCAATGAAATATATTTGCAAAAATTTCGGCATTTCGGTGGGAAGCAGGGAATCTGATCTATCCGATGGTAGATTTGCCCCTGAATTTTAAAAGTTGGCATGAATCCAGATTCAGTGATTTGATGAGCTCCAAATTAAGTCATCTGGAAAGGACTGTTGTAGGCTCGAATATTGCTTAAGAAATGGCTGGACTTGGGATGCTCGCTATTCAAAAGAACTCGTAAGATCTCTGGTAGCTCTTATATAGAGTTTAGTCGTACCTTTCCAGATGCACAACACATTCCCTTAGTCTCTCCCTTCCACTTACGCGCGTGACAGTGTGCACAAACCTCAGACATGGTGCCAATGTCTCCGTGTTCGATGTAATTAATAAATGGGTTATAGGAAAACGCCCTCCTTTCTTTATTGAACCACGGTTGCCCTTCAGGATCATAAACCACAGACTCAATATCAGATGAGGGTGAATTGCGAAGATTGCGACGTATACGGTCTAGATCAATTTGGGCCACACGCTGTTCGACTGACTGACTTGCCCGAATTTCCTGAATCCGCTCACGTTCTTGCATGGAATGAACAGACACTTCAACACAACACAACTTCAACAAAAAACAGCATGTCGTGATATCTTTGCCGAGCAAGTGCGTTGCGTTGCTCGCGCTGCTCGTCTGTCTCCAAAGACCGAGCTAGAGCATGCTGTGAGCGGTCTGCACTAAGTTGCGTCTCACGTTCTTTAGGATTCTCAAGTGATCAAGATGTGGCAGTGCGAATACGTTGGGAGCTTAAACGCGAGTCTCTCTGCGTGTAAGTCTCCGAAGCGCGAGATACTGCGTGGCGCTCGCGATCGCTTGCTTGGCGTGTATCGCGCTCCTGACTATTCTCGAGCGACCGAGCAGTCTCAGTGCGGAAAAGCTGAAGACTTACACCCGTATTTATAAACAAGTAAGAGTAATTATTTGAGTAAAAGTAATTACTTAAGTAACGATTTGTATTCGATAGTTAAGTAATTGCTCCAAGTTAGAACGGTCAAAAGTTAGAATACTCAGCCAAGTAATAGTCACCATTTCCTTTACTCAAGCACTACTTTGAGATTATTTTGGATAAAAAATGGAAACTTTGGATAGCATTGGAACGGTTTTTGCTGCTGTAGACAATATAGATGATAATATTTTATTAGATGAGATAGAATTTGAATTTTTTAAAATATATAAAATATTAATTTTAAATATATGTATATCGAATAATAATTATTTTTAACAGCAAACAAGTATTAACTAAACATTTTTTTACTTTTACGTTTATTTATTTAGAGCTGAATTTTAAAATAATGGTGGTTTTGACAACCTGGCGCCCAGTAAGCGCTCACGAGGTACCGAAGTTGCCACGATAGGCAAATAGATCTTAGCTAGGTTAAGAAGCCCGGGTGACAACACTTTCATGCCATCTCACATCTCCAACTCATCTCCCTTTATAGGAGTGACAAGTGATTATATGAATATATGTAACTCTTTTTTCAGGATTATGTTATTTTTGTAAAATAAACCTTATTACTTTAAAAGTTTCGATGTTATCTAACTTCGACATTTTTTACGAATATATATTTTCGGCGCCATAAAATTCGTGTTAATCGTCGTTCGTAAGTTTTAACATACGGAATTTTATGCCTTCAAATTGTTGGTTATTTCGAAACTTTAGACAGTAGGCCAAAACAACGTTCTTAATAGTGAAGAACGATGTTTATGAACACAGAAACAACCACCAAGCGTAGAGTGTTACTTAGGCATTTGCTCAAGTAAGTAACGTGTGTTACTCAACTATAACATGAGATTTTGTAATTAAGAATTCTAACCTTAAGTAATGACTTAACTAAGAAATTACTTAGCAACAAGTAATTACTTCTTTATAAATACGGGTATTAATCTCTGCTCACTCTCTGTTTCCGTTTCGGAAGCGCGAGATAAAGAATGACGCTCTCGGTCACGCGCAAGTCGTATCTCACGCTCCTGACTGTTCTCAAGTGATCAAGCAGTCTCAGAGCGGGTATTCTGAAGACTCAACCTTTGATCCCTCTGTGTAACCGTTTCGGATGCGCGAGACAAAGAATGACGCTCACGGTCGATAGCTAAACGCATTTCTCGTTGTTTCACACTTTCCTGAGATCGAGAAGCAGTAGTGCGGACTCGTTTAAATTCTAGTCGTAATTGGCGCTGCGTCCTAGTTTCTGCGGACAAATTTAGTGCATTACGCTCACGGTTAGCAACCAGTCGTTGTTCACGCTCAGCGTCGGTTTCGAGAGATCGAACTAACCTGCGCATCTTAGAAACCCTTGAGTTTCGAGACAGATTTGATCTTTTTCTAAAAGGCATAGCTAAAATTCCTTCTTAATCCGATAGTACGATACTAACGATATTCAAAACAATGAAAATGAAAAGTAATCGAATAAGTACGTAAGAATTGCTATTAAGTAGAATAATAATTATTCGCAGGAAAATTAAACACTTGATGACCAACACAGACAACAGAAGTAACCGCCGTTTCGATAGGATGAGAGATTTAAATCTCTTTGTTGGTAAGATATAACTTAGAACCAAAAGTTTGACTTGACTTCATGATAGTCAAAGACATTTAAATTGGTAGTAGTAATAGACCGGACATCAGTAACAAAATTGTCATCTGTAACTTTTGTCCTATAGGATATATCTCCGATTTTTGTCATTTAGTCTAAGTGACATCGTCAAAAGGTCAAGACGCATTCATTTTATAAATTTAAAAATATTTTTAAAGAAAATATGCCTGTGCATTAAAGTATTGTAAATCACGATATGGAGCAAAAAATGAACGTGATTTCGATTTATTATCGTAAGAATAATGTATATTTACCAAATAATCATTAAATGTTATTATTTCTGGTATATTGTTCGAGAAGAAAGAAAAATTATTGTAATAAGTGCCCTCTGTTATCCAGTAACGTCACTATTTATTTACAAATATGTTAGTGATACGATGTGCCCACACCGGATTTTAACCTTATGTTTAGTAGTGTCACCTACTGGGAAATAGCTAAAATTTTTCTAAATAAATATTCAGTGTAGTATTGCTATATTTCGAGATATATATATATATTAAACTATAAAAAAAAAAAAAAAAAAACTAGAGGGTGTAATACATGTGTGTAAAATGTTCTATTTTTAAAGAAAATATGCCTGGTTGTGCATTAAAGTATTGTAAATCACGATATGGAGCAAAAAATGAACGTAATTTCGGGTTATTATCGTAAGAATAATGTGTATTTACCAAATAATCTTTAAATGATTATTTTGTGCATTCAATTACGAAGAAAAACTTTTTAAAATCAATATTGCTTACCTCCTATAACATACGGCGTGATAATATGTAGTCTAAAGCCTTCCTTGGTAAACAAAGAACATTTTTGCTTAAATTCAATTCAATCTATCCAGTAGTTTTGGCGTGAAGCCGTACTATACACACAGACAAACAGACAAACAGATAAAAATTGTTAAAAGTCACTTTTTATCATCACTTACGTTTTTCTTTCGTTACTGTTTTATTATATGTAATATGTATAGATTTCTATCTATACCAGTAAAATTTTAATATCAAATCGGTTATGTCAATTTTATCGATGCAATACTATAATATTGTTTTTTTATTGTGTTAAATTCTTACATTCTGATAATTTTTTGGATCAGTGGAATTTAGCGGGTTTTGTGGTGACAAATTTTTAAAGAGATGCCTGTCCTTGTGCACTCACTAAATTCATTTTTACGTTACATGTAATACATTTTATTAACACATTAATACATTTTAATTATTTGATTGAATTAATTCATCTTTAAGCTATTTAAAACATTGGAATTTAAATTATCTGAGTAACTGATCTTATGGTATAAATGTAATTTTGGTTAAAATGTGTTATTAATTTTGAAGTTAATAACACGTCTTCAATAACAGGACCACATGATATTTAGGGTACCTAAAGAACTGTGATTTAATTTTTATGTTATATGGGCGAACGAAGATCGATTCTACACGCATTGTATATATTGTTGATCGAAAGGACAATAGCGAAATAATAGGTGATGGAATTATTAAGCGTCTACTTATGTCACCATTACAGACTATATCAATAAAATAATTTACTATGTATTATCTAATCAAGCTTATGGCCTTTCGAAGTCTGGAAAAAAATCTATTTAAGTATCAGCAAGTGGTCATTTGAATTCTCACTATTAAATGATTCAGTATTAGATAAAAAGCTTTACTGATAGACGTGTAACAGAATATTCGTAACTGATAAAGGTAACAGAACAAATAACGTTGACAAAATATTTATAGATAAGATAAGATAATTAACCCCAAAGCTTACAGTTCAATTCTGTAATTAGATTAGGAAACGTACTTCAAACTGAGGTATTTCAAAACTTTAAACACAGTTAATATTACATATTTAATGATAATAAAGTTAAACTTCAGCAATACTTGAATTTATGCTATTACTTATTCTTTTGATTCATTTATTTACCTGATTTGGAGGGCGTTTAACATTGAATGGCGTGTGATGGTCCTTAAATAGAATCGCATCAGCCGTAGCCGCTTCCCTTGCGTCGGCTGTTAGAATGCAGCGGTCCACAGGACATTTGTTCCTGATGAACTCGTTCCGTCCGCCGGACACTCCCCATGCTCCAAGACCGTTAGCTAGCAGTATTTTCTTTATAGGTACGTTTTCGTCGTCCGGCAACGTGTACATAAGCTGCTCGTAAATCCTATTAAACAAATATATGTGTTTAAAACCATGCGTTTTTAACTGGTGACGACACGGACAAGATGTTACTTAAATCACATTATTGAAGGTAAATTTTTAACTCGGTATTTTTATAGGAAAAGGGTGACAAACGAGCACATAGTCCACCTGATGGTAAGTGGTTGCTGTGGCCTATAGACATCTGCATCTATCCTCGTTTGCGGATCAAAATGAAGATGCGTTGTCAGCCTTGAGGACTAAGATGGAATGCCTCTTTTCCAGTAAAATGGGTCTCCGGTTCTCTATACTCACCATACGAAACACAGCAGCATTAAGCTGCTATTTGACGCTGGTATTCTGTGAGAGCGTGGTCCCTCACCGGTCGGTATACAATTAATATAGCTGCAGCATGGCTCTACCACGTGAAATATCTAAATTCAGTTCTTATGAGGTCTCATGAATAAGATTTAGAACTCAAAGCATGATAGATCAATTATTCCGTCTCAAAAAATAAAGTAAGCATCACCATTGTAGTTTTTATGTCACATTACTTTTTTTTAATAAACTTCTAAATTCTTCTTATCTAAGCTAACCTGTCGTCACCGGGTGCGTCTTCTGGGAAGACCTTAGCATTCGGATCGTGACGGCGGGGACGTCGCTCACCGCCGCGCAGGAACCACTCTCTTTGCGGCACCTCGTTGCTCTCGCGGACCGACACTACCTCGCTTTCAGTTACCTACCAAGGTTTACAAATTACAAAAAGTCTCATCTGTTTGGCAGAATGCATGCTAAGTGTCAGTACAGATATGGATAAACTGAAATGTATTTTTTATAAAACTGAAGTGACAAATGACTTTCAATCCACCTGATGTTGGCTATTGCAGTCCATAAACACCGGCAGCCAACTTCAATCAAAGAAGATATAGATGTGTTATCACCTCTGCGAACTTAGTTCACAACACATTCTCTAATTATATACAGTGAACCCCCGGTAATCCGGCCCCTGGCTAATCCGTCCCCCCTTGTAATCCGATATGTCTTTAACTTGTAGGTAGAATCGAGTCGCGCTATGATCCGTCAGGGGTGGAGGTGTACTTTACAAATACGTGGACAAACAGGTTGTAATTAGTTCGCGCCCCCACCAATATAGCTTAACGGGTATTGTCTCAGAATTATTTACTGTTTAGGTATTCTTAAAAAGGACATTTTTATTGTTTATTATTTTATTATTTTGTATTTGATAGGTATGTAATATCGGATGCCGTAATGAGGGGCTGTGGCAGTACTCTATAGTTCGACAAATTCGATAGTCCGACACCGTCTTGCAAAACGTTTGTAGGATTACCGTGGGTCAACTGTATTCACTATACTATAAGGTACAGTCATTACGGCAGAACTGCTGGAGGACCTATGCTCAATGACTGTATTTCAATGGGACTGTATAGGTCGAATAGCTGTCACCCGATGAGGAAGAAAGGTGGCACTCGAGTGGCAGCTTCGTAACAGTAAGCAAAGTGTAGAGGGACCCTTTGTAGCGGTCAGCTTAGGATTTGTCGCATTACTTAGAAGAGGTCAATGTTCTGCAGTACAGATTAATGCTTTTACCTCGATGACGAATTTTAAGACGTGTTAAGGAGAACAAATAACTGCTGAAAGACTAACGAAACGTTCGACTAGCAGGATTGGTATCGCCGCCCCCTCGTTTTCAACAAATGGAACCTAATTTACTGTAGAAGGTAAGAGCTCACAATTTATGCCGCTTCGTATACCTGGGAACGTGCATCGCACCGCGTTGGCGGTTGCGATGGAAGCCGCAACGGCAGTAGTATTAGTGCCGCCAGCGTCATATTGTGTCTCAAAGCTTGTTGGTTCTGATTTTTTAACCAATTATGCAATTCGACACTTCCAATTCGTATGATGTTCACGCCAATTACCAACAATAAAAATTAAAAAATAATTTCCCTACTGCAGACCACTGAACGAATAACGAACCATTCAGCTTGCAGGATTGGTTTTATTTTTATAGAATAAAGGTGGGGTCCCACGGCCTGCTTTCTCACAGGCCAGACCGCGCCAGACCAGACCGGCAGGCCGTGGGAACCGATGCATCCGATGAGGCCTGCGGTGGCCTGTTGTCGCCCGTTCGATCCATCGGGAGTCGGTAAAATCAAAGGCGCGGCGCGACGCTGCCTGTCGCGGCCTGTACGGACGCGTCTGCGTAGGTTGTAATCACAGAGTACTTTCCAATATACTGAAAGTTGTAATCGTTCATTTAACCTGCGGCGGCGCCTGCGCGTACACGCACATGATGGAATGGAGGAACGAGCTCATATTCGAGTTTTTAACTCTTTAGGAAAATGAACCAGCGCTTTGGAATAGTTCGTCACCTCAACATAAAAAGGCTCTTGTTGAATGACGACACCCACCAGCGTCGTCGTTTCTTCTGCTTGATTCAACAAAATTTCACCACTGAATAAAACCACAGCGGCTGCATACGCAACCGTGCGCTGCGTATCGCCTAACATGTTGGAATGTCAGTCAACAGGCCGCACAAGGCCGGCACACGCCGTGGCCGGCCGGCCGGCGAACGCTCAGTAGGGGCCACGACAGGCCTGTACAGGCGGTGGAACGCCTGGCGCGGCCTGTCGCCTGGCGGGCCGTGAGGGGACCTTTAGGAGGACTAACGAGCAGACAATCCATCTGACGGTAAGTGAATGCTGTGTCCCACAGAAATCTACATTTATCTTCGATTAAGAATCAAAACACAGATGTGTTGTCACTCCTGAAGACTAAGATGGAATTACTCGTTTCCAGTAAAAAGGTCTCCGGATCTCTACACTCACCGTACGAAATACAGCAGTATTAAGCTGCTATTTTACACTGGTATTCTGTGTGGTTTTTCCCCGGACGAGCCAACCCATTCGTGCTACAACCATAATATAGCTGCAGCATGGCTCTACTATTAATATATTTTTTTTAATTTATTATTTATTAATGAATTTATAATACAGTGGTGTTACTTAATTCTAAACTTGCCAAACTTTTACGTTTGATGGCGATAGGCGCTCTTTTACATATCAATGAAATTTGAAAGCGACAGTAGCCTAATGGCAGGGCGCGGACCGCGAACTCAAAAAGGTCGTGGGTTCGAATCCGCCATTCGACTACTGGCGTGAACCACTCGTAACACAAGCAATTTAAGCTTAAGTAAGTGCTAAAATGCCCACTACGCTGAAAGTGAAAAAAAAAATGGAGATTTTTGATCCCCCACCCCCCCCCTTTTTCCGGTTTTTTCCCCTTTTTTTTTTAGCAAAGACACCACTCCCCAAAAAACCAAAAAAACCAAAAAAACCGACCGCCAAAACGAGTGGTTTTTAGAAAAAAACGAAATCCTATATAAAAGAAAAACAAAAAAATTAAGTTACTCAATACACCCTTAATTTTTTAATTAAACTTGTAAAAATAAATAATTTTTAAAAAAAAAAAAAAAGGGAATATTAGTAATGTTTATAGCATTGTTAATACTCTTTAAAAAAAATGAACCACCTTATGTATTCCTAATATTGGACACAATAATACACAATTATATAAATCACACAGTAATAAATAAACCTATGACATCTTGTTGTTATGTTAACTTTATAATCATCGGTATTTGGTATCACCATTCCGCGTTGTCACCACACAGATCTTAGTTTACTGCGGAAGTTAAAATTAGGATTGAAATAATATGTACTACGTATCGGAACAGACAGCGCGAAAAAATCTGTGGGGCAGTGAGGGTCGCGTGGTCGGAGACAGAGAGTATCTTTTTATGGTTCAGACTAAGTAAGCGAGCTCTAAAGCGTGTTGCAAGCTACCAAGTCTCGGCGTCTCTTCTAGAACATGGTACATATTACTTCAGTGCACATAGCTCATTCAAGCTGCTCGATGTACTTGGAGGCTTTCGTCGTTATGTGTGGGCGGCGGCGGTGGCGATGGAAGCCGTGACGAAATAAGTTCGGGCCCATTGGCTCTAACTCGTGTTGCAAACAACCAAGTCTTGACGTCTCTTCTAGTACTTAGTACATATAACTCTAGTTGTTCGGTGTACTTGGAGGCATGCGTCGTCTCGCATGGGCACATGTTTCTTCTAGAATGTACTCGATTGCATGGTGTACCTGGAGTCGTGCGCCGTTCCGCGTGGGCGGCGGCGGCGACGGGAGCCGCGTGGGTGCCGCGAGCGGCGGCGGGCGCGGCAGCAGCAGTAGCGCCAGCGCCGTCAGCGCTAGCGGCAGCAGCAGCGCGCCGCGCCGCAGCACCCGCGCGCAGCGCGCCCGCATGCCGCGCCTCACCCCGCGACCGCCCGCACCGCGCCCATCACGCTCGCACCCTGCGCATCGCTATCATCTGCAAAGTTTTCAATGGAGAATTATATATAAGCCAAACCACAGAATTTTTGTTTGGTTACGGAAACCAACCTCTGATTTTATAACTAAGTAGTTAACCGGAAAATGAGAAAGCTTCTAATAAACTAATTCGCCTTTTTTTAAACTTAATGAAATCTGAAAATTATATGATAAAAATGAGTTAAAAAAAGGATCTACTATTTGGACCTATTTTAGAGAAACTGATGACCAAAGTAAAATGAAATGTATTAATATAATGTAACATTTCTTTGTTTGATTCCAAACAAAATTTTATACTGCTTTCTATTTGCTATAATTGTAAATAAATCTACAGTGCCTCAAAAACATAACGATTTAACCCATAAATAAATATACTTTCAACAGTAAAATTATGAAAGACATGGCATTACTCAATTCATACATTTCAATACAGTGGACACTTTGAGTACTACTTTAACGAATGTTCGGTGATTTTGCCGAATATTCGGTAAAACTGTCGAATATGCCGAATACCGAATATAAAACTAATATTCGGCCCATCATTAATTAGAATACTGATTCTGATAAAGCAAGTAACGGGAACCACAGTGTTTTTGTTATCGACATGTTGTATAGTGTAGCTATATAGAATAGCTATTTTTTAAGTAGAAAACCATTATTAGAATTGTATCAAGTACAAGTTTATCGCCTTTTTAAGTTAATTTTTGTAAAATTTTTAGGTTTTTAAAACGTGCTTGTTTTGCATTGCTAATTTGCATATCTCAAATATTATGTTGAGACAGGGAAAAGGTATTTAAATTATAATAATAAGGCGTACATGATGTATCCGGTGGGTTGTTACTAATAACAGTAAAATATCGCTTTTGAGCTAAAATGGCAACTACTTATGGCAAATATCATCTTTATAAGCCAATATATGGAGTTATATTATATAAACTATGTTCGACAGTCGACTTTGATAGGCTGTAATTTTATTTTTATTTTATTTATTTATTTTATTTTATTCTTATTGGAAAACTTACAGCTAACATTAACAGTAAATAAATGAATAACAACTAGAAGGCCATTTAAAAGTTTTCACCTATAGGCAATACGAACTTAAAAACAATAATTCTAGTCGGTAAAAGATAAATATCGATTAAGACAAATACAGTAAATTAACTAAATTAAACAGAAAAACACTCAACAAAATAATTTTTTCGCTAAAATATTTTTGACTCGAGAAACACTGGTACTAAACAGATCCAAGTCAACGCTACTGGAAATGTCATTAAAAGTTCTGCATGCACGTATTATAAAAGAATTTTGCCTGTATTTATTCCGGGTATGCGGCACGTGGAGTAAGCGAGGCTTTCTTAATAGCTAGAAAGCCTCGCTTACTCCGTGCTTGCTCTTGTTGCAAAGCCTAATTTACTCAGTAGCTCCGGACAGTCAATATTACCATTTGCCCATTTAAAAAGATAAATCATATCTGCTATGCGCCTACGTTCGTGCAGAGGCAAAATATGAAATTTTTTACATCGCGCAATGTAATTATTAGTGTAAAATTGCGTCTTAAATTGCAGAAAACGTAGAAAACGCTTTTGTACTTGCTCAATCCTATCTACATATATAAATGTTATAACTTGGATTCCACACTTGAGAGGCGTACTCTAAATGGCTGTGAACAAGAGCGCAAAAAAGTATCTTATATGTTTTAATATTATGAAAATCAGTGGAAAATCTCAAAACGAATCCAAGTGCTCTATTGGCTTTTTTAATGATATTGTCAATATGTGCATCAAAAAGTAATTTAGAATCGAAAAATACACCAAGATCCTTTACTGACTGTAATCTCTCTATAGTAGTGTCTTGTAATTTGTAGTGAAAGACAGTGGGATTGGGTTTACGGGTAAAAGTAATGATAAAACACTTGGACACATTCAAGTCAAGTTTATTGCGTGAACAATATCGTTCAAGTTCATTGAGATCACGCTGCAGACCAAGGCAGTCAGAAGTATTTGTAATGGGACATAAAATTTTCATGGCATCAGCATAAAGGATTATTTTGGAGTAAGTGAAGCAGGAACCTATATCATTTATAAAAATCGCAAAAAGCAAAGGACCTAATAGCGATCCCTGCGGTATACCTGAAGGGATTTGCACAGTTGCTGACGTATAACCATTGAGTACTACTGTCTGACAACGATTCTCAATATAAGATTTAAACCACCAGGTCGCCGCTGATACCTACCTCGAGTAGTTTGCTGAGAAGTATAACGTGATCTAAACGGTCAAACGCTTTACTGTAACCAGTGTAGACTAAGTCAACTTATAAGCGCTCAGACATGATGTTAGTTAAATAGTCAGAACAGACAATAAGGTTCGAAACCGTGGATCTACCTTTTAAAAAGCCGTGTTGATAATCACTGAGTGTTTGATGCCATGATATACAGACAAGTATACGATTTTCTCAAAGATTTTGTTGAATAAACAAAGCTTGGATATTGGCCTATAGTTTTCTACACGGTCCTTTGGACCATTTTTATGGATGGAGGTAATAAATGCAGATTTCCAAATAAGAGGTACTATTCCTTCCTTGAGAGAATGTCTGTATATTATTGTTAACGGTATAGTCAAGCTTTTAGCACACTTACTTATAAGAATGGGTGGTATACCATCTGGGCCTGCAGATTTATTAAGGCCAATAGAGTTTAAAAGCTTAAAGACTTAAGTTTTGCTAACTTGTATCGAGTTTATACCCGACACAGTATGTGATCGCTAATTATCGGGCTCATATCGGGTGTCATAGTTACTGCGAACTTTGTGAAAATTACCATAGAAAAAATCGCTAAACATATTACAAATAGTATCCCCTTGGCCTGATGATATGTGTCCATACTTCATTATAGATGGACAAGCGTTTGACGCTTTTTTATATTTCACGAAGGACCAGAAGGTCCTTGGCGATTTATTTATGCTGAGTTCTATCTTTGCTATATAATTGTTGAACATTTCGGATTCTAATTGTTTGGTGCGATTACGTAATACTAAAAAGACTTAACAGTGGTAGAGCCACGCGGCAGCTTTGCTGTTGCACGTATGGGCCGGTTCAAACCGGGTGGTACCACGACCTCACAGAATACCGGCGTGAAGTGGAAGCTCTGCTTCCGCGTTTCGTCTGGTGAGTGCAGGTGGCCGGAGGCCCAAATCCCCCCCCCCCCATCAACATGGTAGCGGAATTAAATAATGATCGACTACCCCAGGAGGGTACCAGCACCCCTGGAGAATCCCTTGCTGAGCATCCACGACCATGTTTCTCCACTTCTGAGCGTGGGTGCTCAGGCTGCCCCGCGTATTCTGGGGGGGGGGGGGGCAAAATTCCGCTCAAGACTACAACTGCTCGGGGCAAACGGAGCAACAAGACCAAGGCGACCCCTGCCACGCTGTCCGTGAATTTCTGCAATATCAGGGGACTTCACTCTAACCTAAACGCCGTCCACTACCATCTCGAGACTTCGGGGCCGGCTCTGCTCTTTCTGACCGAGACGCAGGTGTCCTCTCCGGCTGATGTCTCGTATCGTCGACGCCTCGGCAGACTTGAAGGTTCGGACCTGTCCATCCTTTGGCTACGCGTAGACAGCGACGACCATCCGCGCGTCTACGGGTGCCTCTATAGGTCCCATAGCGGTAATGCCGAAACGGACCGACTATTCGACCACGTCCAAATGGCTGCAGATTCGTTTCTACAGCAGATCCCCTCCGCAGAGATCGTGATCCTCGGCGACTTTAACGCCCATCACGCCGAATGGCTTGGTTCACGTTTAACCGATCATGCGGGGAGATCTGTTCATGATTTTGCCTTGGCATATGGTCTGACACAACTGGTTACTTCGCCTACGCGGATTCCAGATGTGGAGGATCATGCACCTTCCCTGTTGGACTTTCTGCTGACATCTCACCCGGATGGATATCAGATTTCCGTCGACGCCCCTTTAGGCTCCTCGGATCATTGTCTGGTCCGGAGTGTGGTGCCACTCACGCTGAAATCGCGGTTGCATTCTGCAGGCTGCCGCCGTGTTTGGCACTATAGGTCAGCCGATTGGGATGGGATGCGGTCTTTCTTTGCATCCTACCCTTGGGGGGCGGGTTTGCTTCTCGCCGGATGATCCCAACGTTGTTGCGGATTTTGTCGCTGATGTGGTACTTCAGGGTATGGAACTTTTTATTCCTTCCTCTGTGGTGCCCATTGGAGGCAAGTCTCAGCCATGGTATGGTCGCTCCTGTAAAATAGCATCATGCTATAAGCAGGAGTGCTACCAAGCCTGGGCTGATGCATCAGCGTCCCGGGATGTAAACACCAGCGCTCTAAAAAGAAGTATAATTCCGCCTCTAGGTCCTTCAAAAGAGTCATTGCCAAGGCAAAGTCAGAGCACATAGGCAGAATTGGCGAGAAACTAGTTCGCCTTCCTTATGGAACCCGTGCATTCTGGTCTCTCGCCAAGGCTGTCCAGGGGAATTACTGTCAGCCTTCTCTTCCATCTCTGCACAGGGAGGACGACTCACTGACCCATACCGCAGAGGAGAAAGCCGATCTTCTAGGCTCTTTCTTTGCGTCTAACTCGACTCTCGATGACGGGGGGAGTACTCCGCCGACCATCCCGCTGTGTGTGTGCTCCATGCCGGAAGTGCACTTCACACAGCGCTCGGTTCGCAAAGCACTCCTCTCACTGGACATCCACAAGTCGAGTGGGCCTGACGGAATCCCCCCAATTGTGCAGAGGACGTGTGCTCCAGAGTTGGCACCGGTTTTAACGCGTCTTTTCCGGTACTCCTACTCCCTAGGCGTAGTCCCAAAATCATGGAAGACGGCTTACGTCCACCCGATCCCTAAAAAAGGCGACCGCTCTGACCCGTCCAACTACCGGCCAATCGCCATCACCTCCTTGTTCTCCAAAACAATGGAGTCCATTGTAAACTGCCAGCTCGTGAGGTACCTTGAAGATCACCAGCTGATTAGTGACCGCCAATACGGTTTTCGCCGTGGTCGGTCAGCTGGTGATCTTCTGGTCTACCTAACTCACAGATGGGCGGAGGCAGTAGAGTTCAAGGGGGAGGCATTGGCCATTAGTTTGGACATTGCGAAGGCCTTCGATCGGGTTTGGCACAAAGCGCTTCTTTCGAAGCTCCCTTCCTATGGGCTTCCCGAGAAATTGTGCGATTGGATCACCAGCTTTCTTGCAGATCGGAGCATCAAGGTCGTTGTAGACGGTGCAAGCTCCGATTGCAAGCCTATTAATGCTGGTGTTTCACAGGGCTGCGTGCTATCGCCAACGCTGTTTCTTCTGCATATCAATGACATGTTGCATACCCGTAACATTCATTGCTATGCAGATGACAGCACTGGTGATGCTCTTTACACCGGCCAAGCCAATATTTCTCGGGAAAACGTCTCCGAGTGCCGGGACAAACTTGTGTCTGAAGTCGAGTCTCTGCTGGACAGAGTCTCGGATTGGGGGCGACTAAATCTAGTCCAGTTTAACCCCCAGAAGACACAAGTTTGCGCGTTAACCGCTAAAAAGAACCCCTTTGTCGTATCCCCTCAGTTTCAAGGCACTCCCCTTGTTGCCTCAGCCAGTATCGGAATCCTCGGCGTCGACATATCGAGTGACGTGCAGTTTCGTGGTCACTTGGAAGGGAAGGCCAAATTGGCCTCTAAAAAGCTTGGCGTGCTCAGCAGAGCGGGACAGTATTTCATGCCGGCACACCGCCTGCAACTTTACAAGGCGCAGGTTCGGCCGCACATGGAATACTGTTCCCATCTCTGGGCTGGGGCTCCCCAGTACCAGCTTCTTCCACTTGACCGCATCCAGCGCAGAGCGGCTCGAATCGTCGACGACCGAGTGCTTTCCGACCGGCTCGATTCACTGGCGCTGCGAAGAGATGTTGCATCTCTTTGCGTATTTTATCGCATCTATCACGGGGAGTGCTCTGAGGAATTGTTCGGATTAATCCCAGCCGCCAAATTTCGTGAACGCACTACACGTCAAACGTCCCGATACCATCCACACCATCTGGATGCTTGGCGGTCCACCACAGTACGTTTCAAAAGGAGTTTTCTTCCGCGTACAACCTCTCTGTGGAATAGTTTACCATCGGCGATTTTTTTCGGACCGATACGACCTGGGGACCTTCAAGAAAAGAGCTTACTCCTTTCTAAAGGGCCGGCAACGCACCCGCAATTCTCCTGGTGTTGCGGTTGATCATGGGCGGCGGTAGACACTTAACATCAGGTGAGCCGCATGCTCGTTTGCCCCTTCTTCAATAAAAAAAAAAAAAAAAAACTTATGATCTGACAAATTGCCATATTTTTTATATTTGGTATGATATTTAAACTTTTCCTTTAAAATTTTTATAAGAGGGGTTTTATACCAGGGGGATATTTAGAAGAAGATTTTACTACTTTTGTTGGTATGTAAGTGCCGCACAAGTTGTTTAATCGAGTGTATAATAGTGACAATGCACTTCCACTGTGCCCTTAAAAAGATCGTGAGACCATGTAAAATTATCAAGCTCTCGTGATATAGAGGAGAAATCAGCTAAATGGTACATAAACTTAGTCCTTGGCTTTACTGGTAAATTGTGGTACTCGACAAAATCCGCTAGAACATTAAGAGCCACATGATGAGGGTCTTCAGGCACCAAAGGGTCGCACATTTTGTTGCGGATAAGTGATTATTACAAAAAATTAAGTCGAGTATTCTGTTGTTAAAATTGGTATGAGAGTTATATTGCTGCAGATTACACGTATTTAAGGTGTCAAAAAAGTCGGACTGAATGGACCCCTCAATATTTTCTGGACAAAGAGAGTACAAATCATCGTCAAGAGTCCAAGATATATTTGGCAGATTAAAATCTCCCAAAATAACGAAAGCATCAGTTAGATTGGTCGTTACTATGTCGTATAATTTTGTATAAAAACAAGCTAACTGTGCAGATAATGAGTTACGCAGTTTTTGTCTGCATAAGTAAATCGTACAAATACGTAGTTTATATGTCATTTTCGGTTTGGAACGCCGAAGAGTTAACGATACCCATATGTCTTCGGCAGAAGAACGCCAGTCGACCCGCTCCTCCACTGCAAGCTCACGCTTAACAGCAATAAGCACACCACCTCCCAACGTTTGATTTGTAACATTATAGTTTCTATCAAGTCTCCAAACAACATAACGGTCATCAAAGAGCTCGTTATTACAAAAGTCATCGTTAAGCCGTCAAGCATATAACATTATAATTGTTAATACATACATTTCTCAGAAAATTTGATGTCTTTGTTCGCAGACTACGTGCATTTTGATAGTATATTTCAACAGCCATCATTAAAATCATACAAAAACACAGAAATAGCGCTGAAAATGACATACTATAACATAAAAAGAAGTGCGAATACGCACCTAAAGTGTGGTGGTAAATAAATAATATTAATAAAAACTATGTGGATGTGTTTAACTACAGCAAATAACAGCGCCAATTTGTTCATATTGTAGCAATCGTTAAAGAAATAAGACGCATAATGTGTAGTATAAATATCAACGAAGAAGTATTGATTATTTATACAACAATAAAATACCGCAAGAAATAATTTAAGATTTGTCAAACTAAACGCTATCTTAACTAATATCACATATGGTGTAAGGTACAAATAAAAAATGCACCGAGCAGCTATTAAACCAAGCGACAACAGAACAACAACGTGTACCGTCAGTGATAAGATAAATAAATAGAATAGACTTAACGTACCAGTGTTTCTCAAACTTGTTTCACAAATTGATGTAGAAATGAACAAATTTATATTCAGAAAATCTTCTTTAAATCTGCTTCCGTTTTTATTGCATATGTAGGAGATGTCGCATTCTTTTTCATTAGAATTGTACAGTTTTTTACCCATGTATAAGAAAAATTTTTCTCCCTAGCAAGAGCTTTTGTCTTATTAAGTAGCTGTTTATTCTCAAACGTAAGGTGGTCATTGATGAAAATCCTGCTATCACTTCTCAATCCTAAATCCGCAGCAGTTAAAGTTTTACATTTTTTAGCAGCAGCTATAAAATTATCTCTCAGGTAACGGGTGTGAAGTGATACAATGATGTTTTTGATGTTTTTATTATTACGCTGAGATACTCTTGCTACGTAGCTGATTTGCTCCTTAGGAACTTCGTAACCTATTTTACTACCAATATTGGAAATAATAGTAAAAAGATTTTCAGACGAGGTTACAGGAACGCCTTTGATCTCAATGTTGTTCAGGCGCGATCTTTGCTGATTTTCGCGTACAGCGACCTCAAGCTTCTCCAATAGATGTTCAACACGTACAACATCATCCTTAGTTTTTTGAAGAGACTGAATTTCCCGATCGATCTCGGTCAGTTTGTTAGTGAGTCCCTCAACCGAAGTATGCACATGGTTCAAGGAGTTTTTAACGTCCATCATTTCACACTTCATATCCTTAAGGTCAGCCTGGATAGTCTTGACACTTGCAATTAACTGTGGTAACTATTTGTTTGGTAATCTTACTAAACTCAAGACGAATATTCTCCAGATCACCATGAGATGGTACCCTTCCTTGTACTGTTTTCTCGGAAGAAAGATTAGGACTCGCAGTTCCTGTCTTACAGGTATTGCATTTCCAAGTAGCCTTTCTGTCCCCAAGTTTGCGATATCCTACCTCTGTTATTCCTGCACATGGGAAATCGAAACGGTTGAGGCACATCGTACACTGCACACCATCCCTGGCTTCACTATTACACCGGTGACACATAAACATGTTGGATAAGATAAAGTTTGAGAAACTCTGACTACAAAAACAATAGCGATCGACTGGCAACAGCGCAATGCATACGTTTGTTTCGTTTACCGTCTACCGACCGACTGATGAATGATTGAATTTTACTACATCTTAATGATTTCTTATATTTACGCGAACAACACACATTGATTAAAACTACTTTTACGGATTTTTGCGCGTTTAATTTTAAATGATTTTTAATTTCCGACGTATCGGGTGCTTTCCGGTACCCATGGTCACGAGGGACTGAGGTGACTGCCGTCCAGATGTCAATGTATAAGCCGAAGAAACTATACAACTTTTGGTTCACGGTTTGGAAAGACTTCATTTACTAATGTAAATGAACTACAAGTCGTTGATTTCGTTTTTTTAAAATCGGATCTTTATTACTTCAAATTTACTTAAGAAGGAAGTAAGTTGCAGGCTGCGAATGACCTCTTCAAACATCTTTAAAATGACAGGGACTATAATAGTGCAATTGGAAACTCGTAGTTAGTTTATCTTTAGTTACGTCTTATCTCCCTTTTACATATATACTTTTACGGTCTCAGTATTAAAAATTACATATCTTTAAAAAATATGACTACATTATCGTTTTTATTTTAAGACGACACATCGAAATCGCTATTGACGTACTGATCCGAGTGAATACATAATTTCTATAAAAACTAGAAGAAACGCCGTCATAAGTTGCGTAGCGCCCGCGACGATTAAAAGCGCTTGGAAATTGTCAGAATCATAAAATATTTTTTAAAAAATTATTGATTTAAGTTATCAAAATAATGAGCAAGTAAATTATGAATATTGATGTTATGAATATATTTGAGTGATTCCCAAGCATATAGATCAAATGATTTCGTTGTAATTTCAACTATAGTGATTTTTTAGAGGTGTTTTCGCAAATAATTATGATCGAGTCAAAATTATACAATCGTGTTTTGAGCAATCAAATTCAAGATAACATGAATTTACCTATATCAAAATCCCACTTTCGTTAGTGGTGTCATAGTCCTATACTATTAGATGAAAGGAGGTGCATTTTTCACGGTGTCGCCTTAAACTAGCAAGCCGCCCTTCGCCTGTTCTGCTTCGTCTGAGTGGGATCTATTAATGTGGCATAGTTATGAGATAATTAAAAACTATTTAATTTACCAGTAATTCGTTTTTTTTTTCAAAAAAAGTCCCCCAAGATTTTTGAATATAATATAACCTATATCACACCTGGCATTTATTTCTATCTGTTCGTCAACTTTCATTGCAATCGGTTCAGCAATTAAACATAGCACCTACGGACGGACAACACAAAAAAATGGTTATTCATGTCTTAATGTCATGTAAAAAACACACTCAGCTTAACATGAAGCAGTTATTATAATTACTAAAAGTATTTCAAACAATAAATTACTTTGTTTTTAGTGTCATGGTAAAAAATAGCATTGCCTTTGATACCGATACGCTTGAAATTCACAGCTTACAGAGATCTTTAATAAGAAGTTCAAAGAAGCATCTAAGTTTCATCTTTCGTTTCGCTCGGATCTCGTACTATGTGAGACGTTTAATCACTAAAATAGAAAGCCTTCGTCTATGTGAAGGGTAGTGGAGCTTGATGAAGAGTGGAAACAAAGCTTTCGACTAGTGGCGATGAATGGCCGGGCGGAAAATATTTTCACTGAATATACGCGACTGTTTAAGTATTCAAGAGTATTGTTACAAAAAATTTAGGATTCAAGAAATTTTGACTGGAGTGAGAATTATAGATTTTTCAGTAGAGATAAACGTAATTATAATTTTTTACTTTTTAAAGCCAAATTATGTGAGTCATTGTTTATAATAAGTAGTGACTTTTGGAACTATTAAATTTTGGAAACTATTACTCTGTATATAAAATTATTTAATAGCTAATGTATGAATATTAATAGTGGTTTGTATATTTCTAAGAGAGAATCCCTTTACAACCACCTGCAGACAGTGTACCTTGTTTTTATGTATTCATATTAATAATGGTCCTCAATTGGTAGTTCTTTCCAAATGCCGTGTGCCACAAACATTTTATTCTTTCATTCATTATTAAACATATACTTCCCCATAATAAACTACAACATATTTTTAAAAACGTGGTATAGCCACGCTACAGCTATACTGTGGTTGTAACACGAATGGGTCGGCTCAACTGGGGTAGGACCACGCTCTCACAGAATATGGTTTATAGTTTAAGAACTTTATTCTCATTAAGAATACAAAAATTCAGTTATTATGAGAACATAAAAATTTATAAGTTATTACAATATCTGGAGAAACACAGCAGTTGGGGGTACATTACAAATACAGTTAAAAACAGTTACAGCGTCAGAGAGAGATATAATCACAGATATAAAGGTGAACTACACTCAACAAGTTACAAGAAACGTCTTGAGATACATATTCAGTAATATTTTATTCTAATTCGAACGAACGAATTTCATTACTGAACAATAAAAAATACTTTATACCTTATTTGCACCTTTTTAAATATATTTAAAATATTTATTGATTATTATTAATATTTTCAACTTAATAGTAAGACTTAATAGTATTTTATAGATTTTATAATATGATATTTTAATAATTTTTTGAAGCTTATATTTGACTGCGATGCCTTAATGGCTTTAGGCAGTTTATTATATCATTGCCCCCTCAAACACTAGGTTTCTTTTACCATAACTAGTTCTTGATGCACGTAAAATGAGATCATTTGCATTTCTTAGCCGAATTTTTTGAACACATTGAAACTTAAATAAGTGTGGATATCTTTATTTATTATTTAACGAATCGGAATGCATGCATGATAAACGTACGATTGATTTATATTTAACAGCTTAGTATCATTATATATATTATGAGTTGGTGCCAGATAGTTATATTTGAATAGAACTTTTATTAATACCTACGTAAAATAGCAGCTTTATGCTGCTGTGTTTCGTATGGTAAATGTAGAGACCGGTTACCCATTTTACTGGAAGCGAGGTATTCTATCTTAGCCCTGATGAGTGACAACGCATCTGCATTTTGATTCTAATTTGAGGATAAATGTAGATGTCTATGGGCCACAGCATCCACTTGTCATCAGGTAAGGATTGTGTGCTCGTTTTTAACCCATATTCTCTAAAAAAATGCTGCCTAGTACAGAGGATATTTTCTACAGTTAGCCACTTTGAAGGTGGATTACCAATCGTAGTTTGTTATTATTTTGACTTTTACCAGGAAGACGATCCTTTTTTTATATATGAGATGGGCAAACGAGCCGCCCATGAAGAACTGTCGCAGCAGGGGAACTTCAGATGCGTTGCGGGGCTTTTAAAAAAGAATAGAATTTCTGCCAATCTCCTGTCCTATTCACCTTGCCTCTTGCGACTTCCTGGGGAGGATGGCCAAAAATACATTCAACAAACAGCTAAAATAAATTTAGAGCAGCTTAAAGTAATAGCAGCGTGTTATGGTGGTAATATACACACAAATATTAATAAAGACTTTTGCGACGAAATGATATAGGAAAAAACATTCAAATAGATATTATGCCTGATAATAATGCCTCTCCTCTTCCTCCTCTCATTTATAGTCACTGAATTTTGTCGCTTCAAATCTGTTTGTCATATTAGTGCATGCATATGCAGTTAACCTAAGCATAAGTATAGTAGTTAACCTATTATTGGGTGCGTTTGGCAGAAAAAAGCGCTAGCAAGCGCTTGTAAGCAAAATGGCGATCGTAAGCGGTAAGCGCTGTCAAATCGTAAGTAGCTATTTTCCTCCAGGACACGATGTTTGTAAAGTATTCATATTAAAAACTTACCAATCATGAATTTTTAATAACATGTATATGTTTATTCTTGTCATTATATTACTTAAAACTAATACTGCACAAAACAACTTATAAACTCTACTTCAAAACAAACAAATTAAATAAGCAAAATGGCGGATTGTGTCAGCGCTACTGAAGTAGCAATCCTGTCCTGGCCGAAAACTATTTCAGCGCTTGTAAGCGCTTTTTTCTGCCAAACGCACCCAATGTCGACCCTTCCCGTTAATTTTACTGTCCCTAATGGTTTCTTATATTTACGTGAACACTACACATTGATTAAAACTACTTTTACAGATTTTACCGCATTTAATTTATTTGGTTTTTAATTCTCGACGTTTCGGGTGCTCTCCAGTACTTTCAGCTTTTTAATTATTATTTATGGTCCGATATACGCAGAACGAATTTACTGTGTCTTGCAGTGATATGCTTGGGTTTAGTTTTAATTTGATTAATTACAGGGTCCCAAGCAGCCTCCTTCTCTATTGAAATTAGGATACTTCTTAATTTCAATAGGCTCACGTATTATCCTTGGTAGGAATCGATGTTTCTACGCGAGGTTTTGTGGTCTATCAAATTTGTGATGGTTAGGCTATGATCACAAACTGCAGACTTCCGAAACGTCGGGAATTAAGAATCAAATAAATTAAACGTGATAAAATCGGTAAAAATAGTTTTGATCAGTTAAATTTCCCTTCTCTTTTGGTTGTCGTGAAAGAAATTGCTGTGTAGCAAGACCGCTTTTTGTTCTCGCTCAGTAATTGTATATTTTGTTATGTTAATATTTCTTTTGTGTACAATAAAGAGTAT